ATTCCCAGTGGGGGGCGTGCAGGAGGCAGCCGGTCCATGATTCTCTCTCATCACTGATGTTTCTCTCTCGCTCCCTCTCTCTTCCTCTCTGAAATCAATACAAATATATTTAAAAAACAACAACAAACAAACAGAAACATCGCATAGCAACACCTGGCCCCCGGCCCCTGCCACACACTCTCATGTTGGCCTCTCTCCCATGTCGGCGACCCGCGTACTGACCGCGCCTCTCACAGGCTGAGGGATGCTGCGTATTCGCCTATATCAGTACAGTGGGGCCTTGACTTACGAGTTTAATTCGTTTCGTGACGGAGCTCGTAACTCAAATCACTCGTATGTCAAATCTTAAAGTGCACAAGTGAGACACGTGACGGTGGGCTGATGTTGTGGGGTTCACTGTGACGTTCGCTGCGCCAACTAGCAGTCGGGTATCTGAAGCTGGCTCGTAACCCGAATTTTAGCTCGCAACTCAAAGCAAAAAATCGGCCGAGAGACAACTTCCTGCCCGAAATCACGCCATGCCATTGACCCAGATCAATCCAGCCTGGCACCGACCGGGTCGAAGGATTTTCAGGGATGAAATTGAAAGCTGTATGGAAAACAACCCCCCCGAAACTGACGTTAGGGGCCTGACTACACGACAGCTGAGACCCAAACGGGGACTGGAGGCCCCGCTGTGTTGAGCCCTAGATCTAAGCCATGACCGACGCTAATAAAGTTATTCGCCTGAGCATCGAGACAGGTTAAAATTCGAAAGACCTGGTGGCGATTTATTTTTTATTTATTAAATAGATTTTATTGATTTTTTTTTCTACAGAGAGGAAGGGAGAGGGATAGAGACTTAGAAACATTGATGAGAGAGAAACATCGATCAGCTGCCTCCTGCACACCCCCCACTGGGGATGTGCCCGCAACCCAGGTACATGCCCTTGACCGGAATCGAACCCGGGACCCTTCAGTCCGCAGGCCGATGCTCTATCCACTGAGCCACACCGGTCAGGGCTGAGCTGGTGGTGATTTAGGCCCCATCGAGGAGGCTGCTCTGTAACCGGTAATCCCGATACACATCGCCCACCAACCCTGCTGACCGCCTACCCTACACCAAGCATGTCGAACTCGCGGCCCGCGGGCCGCATGCCTCGTTTATTTCATGAGTTTGACAGGCTTGGCCTATCAGCGGTTCTCAACCTGTGGGTCGCGACCCCTTTGGGGG